CCTCCAGAATTCAGGTCTGGGCAGCAGAATCATTAAGAGATGAGTCTCAGCAGCTAACCTGTCTGAGTTTTGAATCCCGGCTCTGTCACTTGTGTGACCGTAGTCTCTGTTTCATCTGTAAAATGGGAATACTATTACTTTCCTCTCAGGTTGTCATGAGGATAAAGTAAGGTGATCAGAATAAAGTACACAGCACAGCAGCTGGGCTGCAGGAGGGCTCAGTAATGACAGCTACTCATTCTAATGACTCTACTCAAGACTTCACACCTTCTCCCCCCATTTTGGGATTTAACCCTTGGTCCACTCACCTCAGAAGGAGTCTTAGTGTTTGCCTTCCACCTCTTTCTCTGAAGGCTTGTCTTTAAGGCTCCTAATCTCTGGTAGCATAGTGGTAACGAATCAGGCTGCTAATCTCATGGTCAGCAGTTCGAAACTACCAGCTGTTCCATGGAGAAAGATGAGGCTTTCTGCTCCTGTAAAGATTTACAGCCTCCGAAACCCTGTACAGGGTCACTATGAGTCAGAACCTATTCCACAGCACATAACAACAACAACAACAAATCTGACACCCGTGGTGGGTGCATCCCAACCTGTCCCTGTAGAGGGCCAGCATCCCAACCTGTCCCTGTAGAGGGTTAACTGAGCAGGGACACTTTGGCCATCCCCTTAGGTGCAGGTTGCAGCCAGGCAGACTGGGGGCTCAGCGAGGCACTTGTCCTCTGTGGTCCTTGGCCACTGACACCAGGGTGTATCATCTTGGACCCAGGTGGCTGGGGCATTTCCAGGGGTAACAGTTCCCTAGTCTGGGGAGTTTGAGATTGAGCTGCCTCCCCTTGTGCCCTGGATGGGGGACTGGGATTCTTGCAGTTGGCCAAGTCCCTCCTTCCCTAGCTTTGTTTGTTCAGGGTGGCAGAAATTGTCTGGATTGCCGGCTGGGCTCAGTCCAAGCCTCCCGCCAAATTCCTTTTCCATCAAGTCACTGTGGGCCAGTGTGGGGGCATGGCAGCTCTTCTCAGAGGGCAGGGTTCATTCACCCCTGGCCTTTTCTACCCAGTTCCTCTTGTCCAAGAACACAGCTTAGGGGAGGTGCCAGGCTTAGAGAGGCAGGAGAATCAATCAACGGCAACCCAGGCTGTGAATGGATCCTGGTGAGAGTCAGCAGATCTGGGGTCTGAAACCACAACCTTCTGTGTGACCTCAGACAATATCCTTTCCCTTTCTAAGCCTCACACCAGTCACCTTATCTCTGAGAGCCCTTCACCTTCTGACATCTGTGGATTTTCTAAACCCATGGTTATTGACCTAAAGGTTGGTGGTTTCAAACTACCCACTGGCTCCTTGGAAGACAGACCTAGAAATATACTTCTATAAAGATCACAGCTAAGAAAATCCTATACAGCAGTTCTACTCTGCAACCCAACGGATGGGCATGAGTTGGAAACGACTCAACATCAACAGATTTGGTGTAGTTTGGCCTTTTAGAGCCAGCCTGGTGATGAGCTTGAAGTAGACAATTGAGGCAAAAAGCAGAAAGATGTAGAGACTTTGAGCTGTCTGGATTGTTCAAACACAGAAGCACTGTTTGTGGGTCTGGCACTAGGGAAGCCAGTCACTCAGAGTATCTTCATGCTCTGGAATCAGGCAGAGTGAGGTGGGCTGGAATCCCAGCTCCACTATCTTCTGCCCCTGTGATCTTGGGGATCGCACATCATCTCTCTGAGCCTAGGTTTTCTTATCAATAAAATAACAGTAATAGATGGTGTTTCATAATATTGTTATATAAGAATTAAGTAAGATAATATATGTAGCGTGCAAGTCAAAGTACACAAGAAGTGCCTGGGGTGGCATGTAGGATAAGCACTAAACCTCAAAGTTGGTTTGAACACAAGGTCAGCGGCTCAAACCCACCAGCTGTTCCTTGGAAACCCTACACAGGGTCGCTATGAGTCAGAAGTGACTCCACGCCACTTACCAACAACAATTACTGACTTGTACCATAAAGGAAATTTTAGGGGCTTGAGATTGCTTAAGGAGCCCTGGTGGTTCTGTAGGATAAGTACTGAACAGCTAACCTCAAGGTCCAGTGCTTGATAAAGTGGAAGGTAACGAGAAAGAGGAAGACCTCCAACGAGCTGGATTGGCACAGTGGGATCAGTAATGGACTCAAACGTAGCAACAATCATGAGGTTGGCACAGGACCGGGTTGTGTATAAGGTCACTATGAGTCAGTACCAACTCGACAGCACCTAACAACAACAACAACAGCAGCAGCAGCAACAGTAACAATCCTGGCCCTGTCTCATGGGGTGTGTTGAGTATCTGGGCATCTCTGAAGGATTGTCAGATTGGAAAGAGAAAGCTTAGGGGTCAAAACCTGCCCAGAGGTAGAGGTTACCAGTCACTATGAAAAGCAAGAGATCTGATTAGTGAAAGGCATCTCCTCAGGGTTGTGAGCTCACTGTCTGTTGAGTATGTAAGCAGAAGCTTGCACACTTGGGGGTGATTTGGGGGATGCAGTAATTATAGGGGGGACTGGGCCTGGTGATAGTCAAACCTAAGATCCCGAGGCTCTGAGAATAGGAGCAACAATCTCTGCCTTCCCACAGCTCTGGAATCCTCAGTTGGCACATCCCCTCTCTGTACCCTGGATCTATTGCCAATGCCTTCTAGGCTAGTACAAGCCCTTGCCTTGATCACCCCTTGACATTCATTGCCTCGTTGCTACTCCCAACACTAACATGAGTGCTTTTAACATCATTTTCAGTTAAAGTTTAGACTCTGAGAGGTGCACAAACTTACCAAGGCCCCACAGCTCGCAAATGGCAGAGGTTGGGTTTGGGCCAGGCACACTGGTGTCTAAGCAGAGCAGAGGAGACCAGCAACCTTCCAGTGTGGCCTTCTGATGTGACTACCTGTCATCTCCTTTCTTAACTGTCTCTTCAGGGCCTCTTCATCTTTTTTTTTGCCTCTTCATCTTTTACAGAATGGATTGATCTAGGTAGGAGAGGAGGTTTACTGGGAGGGAATAGGTGCCATGAGTAGGTGGGACAGGTTGTGTGCTCTCACAGGAAGGGAAGAAAGAGGTTGAGGCCAGAAAGCCTGTGACTGGTGGGCATGGTCTCCGGGAAGCTGTTGTCTGCAGTTCCTGTCCTCTGTGTGGGTCTCTTTGCTTATCCCATGTGCCCATTGTGGGAGTTAACAGGCTGGACTCTGAACCACTTTCTGGACCTCACTTGCATGTATTAAATGGGACTGATGGGGAAAGAACTTCTTGATAGGGCCCTTCAAGCTCTGAGAGTCCAAGAATTCTGAGCTCCTCTGGCAGAATGCCTAGAAAGACTGTCCCTAGAGACACACTCAGCATATCATGACCAGCGCTAATGAGGTTGAGGTAGGAGGGATGCGGGCAAGGTCAGATTCCCCAGGAACTAATTAGCTGCCCACAGTTGGGGGAGGAGGGATTTTCTCAGCCACAGACTGAGTTTCTAATCCTGGTTACAGGCTGATCCATTTATCAGTCTATTCACTCATCAATTCATTCATCATTATCCAACAAGCATAAGTTGAGCACCTATTGGTGAACAACACGGAGAGGACCCTGGCCTCTAAACTTATGTTCTAGTTGAGGAGACCGATAATAGACAAGGCATTATTTAAAGAGGAGAATTTCAAATTATGGTAAATGCTGGAACTGGGAAGATAAAGATAAATCGTTGCCTACAGGGTCTGGTAATCTTCTTCCAAAAGGTCACAGCCTTGAAAACTCTATGTAGCAATTCTACTTTGCCTCCATGAGTGGGAAGCAACTCAAAACAGTGAATCTCCAGGGGCCTGACCTGCTGGGTTGCTGACTCCAGTCTCCAGACGATAACCCCTTTCTGAGCTTGATCCCCATTGACTCTGTACCCCATATGTCCCAAAGGGATCTTTTGGGACCAGCAGATAGCATGGGCTACAGACCCAGAGAGAATAGGATCTGGTTCCAGCCTTGCCACCCTTACTTATGTGACTTTAGGTCAGTTACTTACAAATCTCTGAGCCCCAGTTTCCTCTTCTTTGAAACAAGGGGAGACTGCCTGTCTCATAGTGCTCATAACGTGCTTCACAAAATCATTAAAAATCCCTGCATAGTAGCTGTTAAAATTAGTGCCATTTACCATAAGCCCTGGACTGTGAACCACAAGGCCCATGGTGTGCGTCCTCCAGGCGCTCCAAGGGAGAGACGTGAGACTTTCTGCTTCTGAGACTTAAAGCCTCAGAAACCTTATGTAGGTACACTATGAGTCAGAACCGACTTGACGGCACTTAACAATAATAACATTTCTGATGTTAAAACATGAGAATTTAAAATGATTATTTAAATAAAGTGGAATGAAATTCTGAAAAGATATAGATGAAGCTGCTAAAAGCGGTTACCTGATTTGGTGTGAGAGGTGCTCAGGGATAGAGGGAGACTTTCACTGTATAAGTTTGTGCTCTAGGACCATGTTTAGACATGAGTGGCAAAAAGTGACATGAGTGCATCTGGGAAAAGATCATTCAAACCGATAATAGTGAGTGCAAAGGCCCTGAGGCAGGGACACACTGAGCATTTTCAAGGAGCAAAAAGAAAGCTTGGCAGATCTTAGTGAGAGAGGAGAGGGATGGAGGGAGAGATATGACAGGGTCATAGCAGGGCCCTTGCCATGGAGAGGGATTTGTACCAGTTTGGTAAAATATCATATCACAACCTTCAGGGGAAGTTCAGATGAAGGCTCCCTCTACTAGTCCTAAAGGGAAAATCTGGGTTGACTTCACCAGGTAGTGGCATTTCAATGACCATGAAGAGTAGATCAGAATTTATACTGAAAAGAGATTAATGCTAGGCAGCAGTGAGTGAAGATCAAATTCCAAATAAGATCATGTTGTAGGGAGGGCAGAGGGGACCAGATCTCTGTGTGCCCCTGTGGTTCTGCATTCCCACTTACTAACTGGCTCCCTGTCCCCCTGCAGCATTGGGCCGGAGCACTAGCTTCACTGAAAAGGATCTGAAAGAGGCCAAGGCGCGGAGCCAGCAGATCGCAGCCCAGCTGACCACCCCTCCCAGCTCCAACTCCCGTGGCGTCCAGCTCTTCAACAGGCGCCGGCAGAGGGTGAACGAGTTCACCTTGGAGGGTCACGGCCAGAGAGGCCAGCAACCCAATCAGGAGTGCCTCAGTGTGCTCCCTGCTAGCCCCACAGGCCATGCCCCCGAGTTCTGCCTGAGTTCCACGTCATTCCCTGAGCCAGGCCTTCCAAGGAACCCCAGACCCCAGAGCCCTGGCACAGGGATCCCAGACCAAAGCATGGAGGGGTACTCAGATGAGACCAGCTTGCTGCGGCACCTGGAGAAGGTGGCCAGTGAGGAAGACGAGGTGCCACTCGTAGTTTATTTGAAGGAGAATGCAGCCCTGTTGACGGCCAATGGGCTTCACCTGTCCCAGAACCGCGAGGCCCAGCAGTCACCACCGACCCCGCCTCTGGCTGAAGACCACCCTCCAGCTGCAGATGTCAACCAAAACCTTTCTTCGCCCAGTGCCACCCTCACGACACCAGCTTCTAACAGCAATCATAGCCCACCATCCACAGATGTCAACCAGAACCCACCGGCGACTGTCATTCCCCAGAACCTGGTGCTTTCTAGCACCCAACAGAATTCTTCTGAGGAACAGTCAAATGGCACAGTGCCAGATTCCAAACCCAGCACCCTGGGTGCTGGCAAGCCACCCCAGGTGCTGGCTTCAGAAATGAAATCCAGCATACTCCTAATTGATAAGGTGTCAAGTCCACCTTCTGCCACCAACACCTTCTCCCGGGAAGCCACTCCCATTCCCAGCTCAGAGACCTCCACCCCAGAGCTCAGGTCCAGTTCCCTGCTCATCGATATTCAGTCCAGCTCCCCAGTGGTGTCAGCAGAACAAGAGATGCCTGGGCAGGCAGTCGCCACCACACCTACCAAGCAGTATAATGAGGTGCACCTCACACTGGCCAAGTCCCCATCAGTGGTCAACAGAACGGCCAGGCCCTTTGGGATCCAGGGACCAGGGGATCCCAGCCAGATGGAACGAAGCCCCATGGTAGAGAGACGACATTTTGGGGGAAAGGCCCCAGCCTCCCAGCCCTCCAACATTGCAGACAGAAGCCCCCGGCCACAGAGACACATGGTGTCCCACAGCCCCATGATGGAGAGGCGACCCTTGGTGCAACGAAGCCCGGCTTTGGAGAGACGACCCTTTGGGAACTTCACCCCACCCCCCACCTATGCTGAGACTTTGTCCACGGCCCCCCTGGCTTCTTCCCGGGTTAGGTCTCCCCCATCTTATTCTGCCCTATACCCAAGCTCTGACACTAAGCCTTCCCATCTGAAGGGACAGACAGGTCCCACCAGCAAGACGGGCATTTTAGAAGAGTCAATGGTTCGCAGAGGCAGCCGGAAATCCATGTTCACCTTTGTGGAGAAACCCAAGGTGACCCCGAATCCAGACCTGCTGGATCTGGTGCAGACAGCTGATGAGAAGCGGAGGCAGAGGGACCAGGGGGAGGCAGGTGTAGAGGAGGAACCCTTTGCTCTGGGGGCCGAGGCCTCCAACTTCCAGCAGGAGCCTGTGCCCCGGGACAGGGCAAGCCCGGCAGCAGCCGAGGAGGCCCTCCCAGAGTGGGCTTCGTGCCTCAAGTCACCCCGCATCCAGGCCAAGCCAAAGCCCAAACCCAACCAGAACCTCTCGGAAGCCTCTGGGAAGGGGGCTGAGCTCTATGCCCGCCGGCAGTCCCGGATGGAGAAGTTCGTTGTTGAGTCTTCTGGCCATGCCGAGTTGGCCCGTTGCCCTTCACCCACTATGTCCCTGCCTTCATCCTGGAAATACTCCACTAATGCCCCTGGGAGCCTCCGAGTGGCCTCCCGCAGCCCTGCCCGAACCCCACCTGCCTCCCTTTACCATGGCTACTTACCTGAGAATGGGGTCCTGCGTCCAGAGCCCACCAGGCAGCCACAGTACCAGATGCGGCCCTCGCTGTATGTCCTCTCACCTATCAAGGAACCTGCCAAGGCCTCACCCAGAGGTGCCTCACCCAGAGGTGCCTCACCCAGAGGTGCCTCACCAAGAGCTGCCTCACCAAGAGCTGCCTCACCAAGAGCTGCCTCACCTGCCAAGCCAAGCTCCCTGGACCTGGTGCCCAACCTGCCCAAGGGGACCCTACCATCATCTCCTGCACTGCCTCGGCCCTCACACCACTCACCGGGCCTCTACACCTCACCTGGCCAGGATGGCCTCCAGCCCACTGCTGTGAGTCCCACTTACAGTAGTGATATCTCCCCCGTGTCTCCCTCCAGGGCGTGGTCTCCTCGAGCTAAGCAGGCCCCGAGGCCCTCCTTCTCCACTCGGAACGCCGGGATCGAGGCTCAGGTGTGGAAGCCTTCCTTCTACTTCAAGTAACCAGAACCCACAAGTGGTCCCACTTCCTACCAAGGCCTCTCTCTGAGGGCCTCGCGGAGATCAAATGGGGCAGGAGATGGCACAGGGCTGAGATTCAGAAGTATGGGAGTCTAGGATCCAAGGTCTGATGCTGCCACCAGCTAGCCTTGTGACCTTGGACAAATTGCCTCCCCTCTCTGAGCTGCAGCTGCCTCTTTTCTACCACGAGGGGGATTGGACTCCATGCCTGAGGGATCAGACAATGATTCAAAGCAGAGAGGAAGGTCCTGGTGATCAAACTCTGGCTAGCTTGTGAGCTATAGGGGTGCCAGGGTCTGAGACCAGCGTCTTGCTGGAGAAATGGCGTAGAGGGGACCCTAGCTTTTGGAGGAAACAGAGCCTGCCAGGCCCATGGAATCAGCCTCCTCAGCTGCCTGAGAGAGCCTTCTTCAATGCCACCCGGGCTTCTAGCTTCTTTCTGCCTCTGGCTGGATTCTCGTCTCCACAGGCCTATCTCTTCCACCTCTGCCTTCGGGACACTGTTTCCTCTACACTGCTTCAGAGAACTTTGCCTCAGCTTCCACCTCTCCTCCTCACCTCAGGTCCTCCTCCTGGATGAGGACTTGGTATCCACTGCTGTCTGATTCTTGTCTTCCTGTCCCTCTGCTCAACCACCTCCCTCCCTCTCCAAGCATCTGGCTCCACTTCGAGGAAACTCCTTGAGCCCAGACCTCCATCCTGGCTCCATCCAATTTGCTCTCACTGTCCTGGGGCAGAGGAGGTCCTAGGGGATCCCCGAGAGGATGAAGATGTGAGATGTGGGTACACAGCTAGGAGAGAGGCCCCAGTGAGGTTAGTTTTGACCTGACTAAAAGCAGCCATCTGGTGGCAGTGGAATGGAATGGGTCCCAGGGAGAGAGGTAGGAGAGGAGGGTCTGGTACCAACGCAGACACCCATTTGCTGTGTGACTTTGATCAAGTCACTTTCCCTCTCTGGGCCTCAGTTTTCTTATCTATATAATGAGGGCCCTTCCAGCTGTGACAGTCTTTAAGATTAGGCTGGTGCTTTGGGAGAAAGCCTTTGTAAGTGTTAAGATAGTCCCCTGGGAGAGACAGATATGGAAATGGGCAGCAGTCCCATAGGACAGATGGAGGTTAAATGTCGGTGAAGGCATGCTGGTGAGAGTATAGTTGGAATAAGCAGCTGAGGAAAACCAGGGCTACTGAAGGCTAGGCTGAGCTGACTCAGGATGGCCTGGAGATGGGGAGTGTGGCCAGGGCTGGGTCGGGAGCAGAGCGGAAGACCACAGTGGAAGGGCTTTAATGCTTTGAGGAAAAGGCTGGGAGTTAGAAGATCTGGATTCTAACAGATGGATTCTGTGTGTCTCTTTCGGTTTCTGTTTCCCTATTTGTACACTGAGGGTCTTGAGTCAGGTAGTTGAGGTCCCTGCTATCTCTAGCACCTTTGATGTGCAGCAGCCCTCCAACCCCCAAACCAGGCTTTGTGGGAAGTGAGAGAATACAGACGAAAGAGATAGGATTCAGATGGAAGCATCCCTCGGCTGGGGGCCGAGGACCACCCACTTTCTCTTTCCCAGCCCTATTTCTGGGCTCCCCAGGGTGTGAGGGGTGGTGGGGGCGGTGCCCATGCTGGGCTGAGCCTGCAGTTTTCGTGAGCTCTGGGCTTGTCTCCATGGGAACAGGGGGGTGCCTTCCTAGTGAGCTCATTCTACCCATAACACAGGGGTTATGCGTGGGGGGGGGCTTGTGAGTAAGCGCAGCTCTTTCCTGTCACACACCCCCCCCCAGAACAGTGACGCCCTCCATGTGCACCTCAGTGGACCCCTACTCCCCTTCACCCCAGGGGCCAGCAGTGGAAGAGCCCATCCTCCATCCTACAGTCCTGCTGCCAAGCCAACCTCTTCCTCGGACTCTGTTTTCTCTCCTGTTCTCAATACACTCTGCCTCAAACTTGCCTTGCTGCTTTCTTTCTTCCCCGCTCGCCGTCTCACTACCCTCCCCTATTCTGGTCTTAGAAGTGGATCTGGAGCAATCAAGCCATTATTGTGTGAGTGTGTCGTTGTGGGGTGTCTCTTGAGCCCCTATGTTTGTGAGGTTGTGCTGCTGTAGGACAGACACAGACTGGCTTGGAAGTAGAGGCTGCCCTCTCTTTATATTTAGGGAACCAGAATCTTGTAGAAGTCACGTCTGCTTTCTCCTTCCCTTGGAGTTTGGCCAGAAATTGTGTTGCACATGGGAAAAACCCTAGCCCCTATGGCCCAAGTCTGTTTGGGCTCTTTACACATGGAATTGAAAAACCTTGAGCCAGAGTACTCACTTTCCTTCTCGGTTCTCAACTCTCTTACTCAACCAATTTCCTATTCCAGTTATTACCTGCTTCCTGAAAGTCTTTGAGTGTACACTTCTGGTAGGGGGAAAAACTTCCACTGAGAGTCAGGAGAACTGAGTTCTAATCCCCAGTCTGTACTTGGCTCCTTGTGTGTGGTCTTAATTCTTTCTCAACTTTGGGCCTCAGTTTTCCCTTTTAGGCAAAGAAGGATTGTAGAAGGTAATAGGGAGACTCCTTTTGATATCTGATAGTTTGATTCATTTTGTTCTTGCCCTCATCCCACCCATTTGCCTGCCCCTGGGGTAAGTGGATGCTGCCTTCCGAGTTCTCTCCTGTTGCATTTCTCAGGAGTTCAGGTGTCTGCGTGGTGCATTGAGATCATTATCAGAAAGGGAACAGTTCTGAATTCCTAGAGCATTCTGTATTGTGCTCTTCCCCACTTTCCCCTCCCTACCCCCCCACCCCCACCCCAAACACACAACACTAACATACAGTGTGAGCACTCAGACATAAAGTCAGTATGAGGTCAGGCTCTGGCCTTGCTTGCCCACCTCCAAATGTTAGGGAGTTGCTCACCACTGCCCTAAGCCTTCCATCCCATGATGAGCCATTCTATTTCCTAGTCCTGGACAAGTGCTGTTACTCCCTGGTGGTGCAGTAGTTAAAGCACATGGCTGTTGTTAAGCGCTGTTGAATCGGTTCTGACCCATAGCGACCCTGTATTGGGTTTCCAAAAGAGCAGCTAGTGAGCTTGAACCACCAACCTTGTGGTTCAAACTGACTTTGCAGTCCAGCGCATTAACCCACAGTGCCACACCAGGACTCCAAACACATGGCAACTAACCGAAAATCAGTTTGAAATGACCAGCCCAGTTGCTCCACGGGAGAACTAGAAGACAGTTTGTGTCTGTAAAAATGTATGACTTTGGAATCCCTAGGGGCCAGTTCTACTCTGTCCCTTAAGGTCACTAGGAATTGGAATCGACTCCACACTAGTGGATTTGGTTGTTTTTGTATGTATGTGTTTTCCTTCTCTGTGGCCCTAGCGTTCCCTTATGGCCACCAAAGACAGACAACTCTGTAGAAATGTTCAGCCAGTTATTTGCACTCCCTGAGCCTAGCCTCGTTTGCTCCTGGCTGAAGAGTCCTGGTCTCTGTGTCTCAATGGTTTGGATCACCTTAGATCATGAGCTCTTGACTCCATCTCCCTGCAAACGGTGGCGCTGTAACTGGTGTTAGGACATGCCTGCACCCACTCTGATTTGGCATTTGGCCCTGATATTCTGGTTTAGTCTCCAGCTTTTTCCTCTGGCTTGTGGACCACCCTCCCAGCTCCTTTCCCTAAGTTGCAGGGTTGGCCTCCTGCACCCAGGCTATCTGAAAGCTTCCTGGGATGTCACACACACAGAGAACCGCTCTAGTATCTCAGGTTTGTATACACATGACTCAACCTTGGGGATGAAAGGAATGGGTCCTACTCTGAGCCTTAACTTCCCCACCTGATGATTGGGGATTGTATGTCCCCATGAGGTCGCTCAGAATAACTCCAACACTACTATCCCAGGAGAATTTCTCCTGCTCAGGCTGCCATACAACATTTCCCTTTAAGTTACAGGGCTCCAATTCTGTGTCTGGGCTCACCTAGCAGCTGCTGCACTCTCTTTGAGGAAAACATACAGCTTACATCTCTTGCTTCCTTTTGGTTGGGAGGAATTCGATTCAGGTTGGATGTGAGAGGGACTTGACTAGGGTTGATTACTGACTAAGTGCAAGACTGGATCTTGTGGATGGTTCTAGATTTTTTTACTGAGTAGGAGACACTGAAGGACTGGCTAGCTGTGGACTCTGGTAAGTGACTGCTGGTGAGTTTGGATTGGAGTGAGAGGCCGAATGGACTGCTAATTCTTGGAATCTGATTGGATGGAGTTTGGATTGGAGTGAGAGGCCAAATGGACTGCTTATTCTTGGAATCTGATTGGATGGTCTAGCCGGTGCATGTTGGATGTGGGTTCCTGAGACCCTCTACTGTGAAACCAACTCAAACTGCTGAAGCGTAGTGTAGCCTTTGAGCAACAGATAGTGTCACACAGACACAAACACACCACACATATTTCCTGGTGGAGCAGGACACACTGGCTGCTGGTTTCCATCTCATTAGCAGAGTGGGTGAGGTAATACCAGTTACCTCACCAGCCTATTGGGAAGATCTAATGAAAGATAAAAGACATGAATAAACCTTGTAGGTTGCAAAGTCCTTAAAGGGTCTAAAACAATGATGTCATGGTATCAGACTTCTTTGTCTGATGACAGGAGAGGCGAGACTTACCATGAACATTATAGCCCAAGGCTGGTTGCTATGAGGTGGAGGTCAGACATTCATCCTCTCTCCAACCCTTTCACCAGTTCTGACACCAGCCATCCCTCCCACGGCAACTCTCTACTTCTGGGCTGGATTTGATCATTTGTTTCAGTGGCCACATAGAACCCACAGACTGTACTCACAAGGAGTTTATTAGGGAAGTAACAGGTTACAACTTGGGATCCGGATCAGGAGGCATGTAGGAAAAGCCACCCTTCATCAGTACCAAGACAGCACTTAGATCCTCTCAGCCCCCTCAGGACAGGTCTCCTGTCTCAGCCCTTAGCCCCCATTCTGCCTTGTTCGCATTCTTTAGCTCCACCAATAAGCTCCTGAAAGCACCCCACGCCAGCAGCAAGCCTCCTGTCTGAAGGCACTCAGCTCTCTCGCCAGCACACCCTCTGTAGCTGCCTCACTATGTGGGCTGGGAAGCCCACTACACTATCTTCTGTGAGTCTCCTGGTCCTGTAGCTGCTGTTTCTCTGCCATGTTTCCCACCATCTCAATGGCTTCTCTGGTGTTACAGCTCTCTCTGTCTCAGGTCTAGGAGGTTCTCAAGGCAGGAACCCCAAGATCCAAAGGACACACTTCTCCTGGATCTTCTTTCTTGGTGGTAGATGTGGGATGGCTCATTTTAAGCCTAACAGGATGTCAAAATCTCATTAGGGTTCCATGTACTTTATTTGCATGGTTCCATCCACACAAGACCCGGAGTCCTGGTGTGGTGTGGTAGGATAAGCCCGCAATCTCAAGGTTGGTTTGAACCTCAAGGTTGGCAGTTCAAACCCACCAGCTGCTCCTTGGAAACCCTATACAGGGTTGCTATGAGTCTGAACCGACACGACCGCGCTTAACAACAACGACCCACACAAGAGTTTTTTGCACCTGATTGTATTAGCAATCTAAACCCCGGGGTGGGCCACAAATGTCTTATTTGTATAGTGTCAATCAGTCATAGTTCAGGAGTCACAAAAAAGTATGGCTTGTTGATTTTAAGTACCATGGAGTTGGTTCTGACTCATAGTGACCCTGTACAAGGTTTCAGAGGCTACAAATCTTTACGGGAGCAAAAAGCCTCATCTTTCTCCTGCAGAACAGCTGGTAGTTTGAACTGCCGGCCTTGAGATTAGCAGCCCAATTCATAACCACTACACTACCAGAGCTCCTTGGCTAGAAGGGTCATATTATGTAATTAATCACAAAGAGGTAGGAAACCGGTATGGCAGTGATAGTAGAGGGTGTTTTATAAATTCAAAGCTTGTTCACCAAAGTCACACTGCTCACCCTGTGCTGGCAAGATGTTCAGTGAAGAGAGTTGCTCTAGGGAGCCAAGTCCCAACTTCTTTTTGAGTTTCCATCTGTCAATGGGAACATCCATCCTGCTCAAGGACCAAGGGAAAAATGAGGTGGCCATGGCAACATGGCAAGGGGCCTGGGGCTGAGCAGGCCTTTCACCAAGTCCAACCTTAATGACAGTAGTCAATATTTTCAAATTTTAAGTAGGTAGTACATTCATATATTTCACAAATCTACATTTAAATGTATGATTCATTTATTCTATATGGGCCTTTTAAAAGTTCACGGGAAAATTCAATGATCTTTTAATTCCATTTTTTCCATGATAATCACTGGACTGCTAACCAAAGGTCGGCAGTTCAAACCCACCAGCCACTTTTTGGAAACTATACAAATTGTTATTAGGACAGACTTGATGGCACTTAATAATAATAATAATATGTATACTATACTGGTGGTGGTGGTTATATGCAGTGGAATCGGTTCCTGTATAGGGTTTCCGAGGCTGTAAATCTTTACTGAAGCAGACAGTCTCATCTTTCTCCTGCGGAACTACTGATAGTTTCGAACTGCTGACCTTACAGTTCAGGTTATCAGCCTGACTCGTAACCACTATGCTACCAGAGCACTTTGTATACTATGTTGTATAGGGTTTCCGAGGAGTAGCTGGTGAGCTTGAACCAACGTTGTGTCTCAACGTGACCTTGAAGTCCAGCGCATCAACCCACAGCACCACGTCAGGACCATACTATACTAATACATTTAAAGAGTCCTGGTGTGGTGCTGTGGGTTAATGCATCAGACTGCAGTCATTTGAACCGCAAAGTCAGTGGTTCAAGCTCACCAGCTGCTCTTTGGAAACCCTATACAGGGTTGCTATGGGTCAGAATCGACTCGACGGCACTTAACAACAACAACAATTCCCACTCTCGGTAACTGTACACCCTGCCCCTTTCCTACATCTTTACTCATTTCCTAATGGATAACCACTTCTGTATGTGTCCTTCCAGTCTTTCTAGTAACTAACATCTACTGAGCCCTTTTCCAGGCAATGTTCTAGTACATGAAATGCTATTTTACCTGATTAGCCCATTAGATCTTCACAACCCCATAGGGTGGTGGTTGAGTCGATTATAACTCTTAGTGACCCTATGTACAACAGAACCAAAACTGTCCTCACAATCAATTCTGTTTGAGTCCAGTGTTGTAACCACTGTGTCAATCCATCTAGCTGGGATTTTCCTCTGATGTTAAGTGCCATCAAATCCATTCCGACTCATAGGAAACCCTGTATAGGGTTTCCAAGGAGCAGCTGGTGAGCTTGAATTGGCGACCTTGTGGTTCAAACGGACTTTCAGTCCAGCGCATTAGCCCAGAAAGCTGAAGCCCAGAGAGGTGAAGCAACTTGCCCAAGTTCTCTCAGTAAGTGAAAGCATGTGTCTCCAGATTGCTCTTTAGCTTGAGTCACCTGCCTCCCTGTTAAACACAGGGGCAGTGTTGTTGTTGTTGTTGTTAAGTACCGTGGAGTTAGTTCCACCTCATAGTGACCCTACACAGGGTTTCCGAGGCTGTGAATCTTTACCGAAGCAGAAAGCCGCATCTTTCTCTGGCAGAACTGCTGGTAGTTTCAAACTGTCGACCTTGAGGCTAGCAGCCCGATTTGTAACCACTATGCTACAGGCACAGTGTTGTTGTTGCTGTTAGGTGCTATTGAGTTGGTACCGACCCATAGCGACCTTATGCACAGCAGAACGAAACACTGCCCAATCCTGGGCCAACCTCACTACTGTTGCCACGCTGAGTCCATCGATGCTGCCACTTGGCCAATCCATCTCATTGGGGATCTTCCTCTTTTTCTCTGACCCTCCACCTTACCAAACATGATATCCTTCTCCAGCGACTGGTCCTGACAATATGTCAGAAGTATGAGAGATAAAGTATGGCCATGGTGGCCTCCAAAGAGCACTCTGCCTGCATTTCTTCCAAAACGGATCTATTAGTTCTTTTGGCAGCCCATGGCACGTTCAATATTCTCCTCCAACACCATAATTCAAAAGCATCAATTCTTCTACGGTCTTCCTTATTCACTGTCCAGCTTT